TGCTAGACCCGCTGCTATTCGGGTGTACATCTAACCGAAGGCTTTGGCTGAGGACCCGAATCGTTCTCCTGACAGGTGTGGACGTCTTACCAGTATCCCAGTCCAAACGCTTTCCTCTTCGGAGCTTAGGAAGTGGTCGATGGGCTTCTTCCAGTAAAACCTAGTCATGGGAGGCAACAGGTCCACTGGTTATAAGCTTTCCGCTCGATTGGCGTAGAGTATGAGCACCACGCATTCTCTCTGACAGTGGGAGGGCACCTGTGAGAACACAATAGTCTGCTACTGCCTGCCTCAAGACAGGCAGCCCTTAGTCAAGTTGGTGCAAACCTGCCAAAACCCTCCTGCGTGTGACTGTGGTCGCAGGTGCGTATCTTACTACGGTCGCAAAACAAAATATTGCTCCAGAACTTCAAAGGCTGCGTGTGACGGACCTCAAGCAGATTCCAATCTGTCTCTGCAATTAAATTCCCGAGTTGGATCTGCTCCCACTGCCTTATGGGTGAAGTCCCTCAAGCAACACTCCGAAGCACAACCGCCACCACGCGTGCGATTGACACCAATGCAATCGTATGCCTGCGAGCAAAGCACCAAACATCGCGTGCTGGAAGGTGCGCACACTACTGGACCGGAATTCGAGTGAACGCCCCGAGCGACGCACTGTACTGGTCGTGATGGAAACGGCGCGCTACAACATCAATATTGCGGCGCTCAGGCTCCCTAAGCAAGATAAGTTGCATAAAGCTGGGGCTGGTTATACGTTCTACTATGTGAAAAACACCACTTCAGCACCATGTGAACATGGGGTCGGATTTGCACCATACGATCGCCTCAATAGTCACCTGGTGGGTGAACCAACAGGCATCAGCGTTCGACTGATGACAGATCGGCTGCGAATTGGAAGAGGTAAGTTTGCCACTTTTATCAATACGTAGGGTTCCACTATGTTATGCTGATGACGTGTGATCAATTCTACACTCAGTTATCCTCCGTGATAAGGTCTGTGCAGAGGAGCGACCGACTATTTCTGCTGGGTGATTTCAACGCGCGTGTTGGGCGTGATGCATCGGTGTGGACAGATGTCATCAGTCCGCATGGCATTGGTTCAGCGAATGCGAACAGTGACAGGCTGCTCTCACTGTGTGCCACTCACGACCTGACGATCACGAACACTGGGGTTGCACTGAGTGCGAGTGATATAGCAACTTGGACGCACCTACGGAGTGGTCGCGCTCATCTGCTCGACTATGTCATCTTACATCAGCGTGACACGCGTGAATTGCGCATGACACGTGTACTGCGTGGAGCTGAGTGTGGCACTGATAAACAAATTGATGCGGATCATACTGTACATATTTTCGTAAACCTATGTATTGCACTCCTGCCGTGAATTAGCGTCAAATTAGCATTCTCCCCTCAGTACTGTGGAGAAACGTATCGAGCTGGAGATGGCGATGGCTGCATGCCTGTGTGATGTGGAATGCATGATCACAGTGGGCGATCTTTGCCACCATATTCGCGATCGGTGACAGCTGCTGCCGTGGAGACCATCGGGCGCGCAAACTGTAAGCGGCCCGATTGGTTTGATGAGAACGATCGGCGCATTGATGTCTGAGAAGAATGTAGCATTTGCTGCACAGGTGGCCGACCCCAGTGACTTTGGGAAGAAGAGAAAGTTCAGCAGAATTCGACGACGATTGATCCGAGAGCTGTCTCATGAAAAATGCATGGTAGACGGAGAAGGCAAAGCACATGGTACGCTAGGCCGAACGACGCCAATACAAGGAATTCCTTGACTCCTTGAAAGCGGTGTATGGACCGAGGTTGGAGCTGCTGACGACCCTGATCGATGGTAGCTCAAACGTTGCCTACACACAGATTGAAGACATAAAGCAGATATGGCGAAATCACTTCGACCGTCTTTTGTACAAGTGTTCGGAGATTTAGTGGCCTCAATTGAACGGTCTGAAGCAGCACCAGGTGAAGATGAGTCTGGCAGACATGCAGACAGTGGATGAGACGCAGAAAGCACTTGCTCAGCTGCGAAATGGCAAGTGTGCCTGTGCCTACGAGGTACCGCCTGAAGTATTAAAACAAGGCGGACCCGCGTTGGTGACTGCGCTGCACCACTTGGTGCAATGCGTGTGGACTGAGGAGGTGCCTCCTGGGCTGAAGGATACTCTTGCGATACCACTGTACGAGGGCAAAGGAAGCAAACAATGTTGCACAAATTATCGTGGTATCAACTTTCTGTGTTGTGTAGGTAAGGTGATTGCCCGAATCCTGCTCAACCGCGTCGTCAGTCAGGTTGTGGAACCTAACGTGGCGGAAGAGCAATGTGGATTCCGTTCGGGTCGCAGTACTATAGATATGGTGTTTGCTGCTCGTCAGTTGCAGAAGTGCAGAGAATGACACCAGCTGTTGTACTCGCTTTTTCTTGATTTCACCAAAGCATTTGATACGGTGAACCGCGAAGCATTGTGGCTGGTGTTAGGTAAGTTTGGTTGCCCGCGTAAGTTTATAAGTTTGATTGAATGTCTGCACAGTGGTATGCGAGTGAGGGTGCAGCTGAGTGGACAGACCTCGGATGACTTTGCAGTTGTCACCGGTGTGAAGCAAGGCTGTGTCTTAGCTCCAAACCTGTTTAATATTTATCTTCAAGCTATGATGTCATGTGCTTTTGATACCGCTTGTGCCTACGGGGTTTGTGTAGAGCACCGTGTTGATGGTGGGTTGCTGAACACCCGTCGTTTCGGTGCGAGAACCCCAGTCTATGAGACAACTATCCGTAGGTTGCTGTTATTTGACGATTATGCGTTGTTTGCACACAGCGCGGATCAGTTGCAGCACATGACTAGTGCTCTGGCTTCGACAGCGGCCAAATTCGGGGTTACCAACAATACAAGCAAACCCATCTGTCTCTTTCAGCCATCACCGGAGGTGCAATCTACAATGGTGCTGCGGAGCAGCATTAGTGCCGAAGTATTGGAAACCACCTCCCGCTTCTGCTACCTTGGGAGTGTGGTTTCGAATAACCAGAAGCTACACACTGAGCTTGGTATCCGCATATCGAAACCAGTGGCGGCATTCAGGAAGCTAGAGTACCAAGTATGGAATAACCACCAACTTGCAGTCGGCACGGAGCTGATGGTCTAGAAATTCATGGTGCTGTCATTTCTTCTAGTTGGCAGCGAAAGGTGGACGATGAACCGGCGGGATGTGCGATATCTTGAGCAGTTTCATCAACAGTGCTTGCGACGAGTTCTGCGCATTGGTTGGTGCGACAGTTGCAGACACGGAAGTGTTGTGCCGAAGTAGAATGTATGCAGTGGACTGCATACTCTTGCTGAGACACCTTAGGTGGCTCAGACAGGTGTGGCATATGGATTCGACGCGGATACCGAAGTGGCTATTATATGGTGAAGTGGCATTTGGGGGAAACCGAAGCTTCGTTACCAGAACATGATCGAAGTGACCCTATCACGTTCTAATGTTGAGTTCAGATCATGGGAATCGAAAGCGGTTGAGCGGCATGCATGGTGCGACCTAATTAAGAAGGCAGTTGCCGAGGTACAAGAGAAAGCCGTCGTACATGCAGAGAAGAGGCGGCAATTGCAGAAGCGACAGGCGCCGATGGGCTGTACTCCATCAACGTCCAGCGCATAGTGCTGTAGCACATGCGGTCGCGAGTACATGAGTCAGACAGGCCTAGTTAGCCACGAGCCTTATCTTTGCACGATAGCCAGCTGTTTGTGACGGTATGTTGTCTACACAAGGTGTAGGCGCCTTGACCCTGAATGTTTGCTTAGGGCATTAAGGTTTTCACGTAAGTCCCTATTCTCTCCCTCTTATTCTTTATTTCATAGGTCCTCATGGTTGTATGGCAGCGAAGCATCAGTTCAAATGGCTGATGTACTGCTGTTAATGATGATGATGAGTTAGCCACGAGCGCAATAGAAAACAAATAATAGCTCGTAGCTAGGTCACACTGGATGTAAGGTTCGCCTGGTTAACAACCTGTGGCGCAGTAGAAACCGTTGTCATAGCTGCCGAGGGGACCGAGTAGGAGGTAAATGGATGGTGAAAACAAGCATGGTGATGGCCGTAGCCTAGAGGTAGCGAGATTGTCTCGTACTTTTGCGGCGCGGGTTCGAATCCGTGTAGGGGTGGGCGTCCTCGCGGTATACTCAGCCCGCGCGCGACTGGTGATGGTTGCGCTGCAGCAAGGCGCCGTTACGGTGTACAGCTGACACATTATTATTATTGCTAGATACCCATCCAACGCAGATGGTTGGAACCTGCTGCTTAATTTAAAGATGATCTCCGAAGGAGTAACGCTTCCCGTCAGCAAGCACCCAACTTGTGATGATTTGAAACCGATGGAGATGACAAGATCTACCTCCTGCTCTCAATATTCCAATGTTTTCCAATGACGTGGTGGGTTTTTGCCGGGCAAGCGTTCTCCCTAAAAAAGCCACAAATGCCCGAGTAACAGCACTGCCACGTGGCGGATATGACTCGCTACTAAATAGCCATTAGCTATTAAGAATCCAGATGATCTAGCCCATTTCGTACACGCAAATCATCCAATACGAAGATTTCAATACACTCCTTCCGCCTGAACATCTATCACATAAAAGGGGTCACATTCACAAATAAACATTTTTACACACGTACATTCATACACACGACACATGGATCCACATGTTACCTATAAACTTATGCCGCCTTTACGTTTACCAGTCCTTGTATCACCATGATCATGGCAATGCAGGAGTTTCTCGCACAGCCGAGAGTAAAACATATACTTATTTATCTGAGTACCTTCTCCCTGGCTAAAAAGTCTTGCTCCAATGCAATGGGCAGCAGTATGATTGGTTGGGTATTCATAAAGCTGTTTATTGTTTATCAGGTTCAAAGGTATATAAAATATTCTAGGTTCTCCCAAAGACCACTAGGCAAGAGCTAGTGAAAATAAAAAGTGAAAATATGTTGCGACTAACCTGAGGTGAAGGCGACCGACGTTCCAACTAAAGTAGCGAAGAAGGAATGCAAACGTGGACCCATGCGGCGTATGATATGCGGAATATATCAATTCGCAAAGTACATGCCCAAGAAGGACACATTATTTCTGTAGGTCATTAAAAGGACACATAAAATTACACGGTTAGAAACTTAAAACAAAGAAAGTCCTGGCATGAAAAACTTTAAAGGACTACGTTACTGGTTTGCTTGTCTAAAAATCTGAATTTGTTATGTATAACTACTTGAACGTATTGAAAGAATAAGCATTCCACCTCGAAAAACGTTGAATTGCACTTATTCTCAGTCATTTAAGCCTGCCGCAAACGTCTGCAAGTAGGACAAGGAGAATAGGAGAATCCCATGGATGTTTCATTATGAACGCAGCATTGCTCCAGGGCGGCTCTCAGCCATTCAGTTGCTTTCCTGAGAGTGGAAAATAGGTCCCAATCATCACACCGCGGTCAAACAATCAATGCTCACGTGTCCTTCACCCGCCATCCCCGCTGTGCCTGTCACGTGTTTCGCGGTAGTGGACAAGTTGAAGTTCATGTGCAAGTTGGACTACAACGATAGGATTATCCCGTGGGCGTCCCTTCTTTAGCGGGTCGTTGTACCAGGAGTTGGCAGACTTTGGAATATTTATAGTCCAAAAACAAATACCACATCACACCCTGTCCAGCCAAGTAAGACACACGTATCCTACCCTAGCAGTTACGGTTGGGCCGGTTGCGTGAAGTAAGTAAGCTAAGTAAGCCAACTTAGAAAAAATAGAAAGTGGAAAGAGCTAAGCAAGTGGAAAACCAAGATAATTGAGATATTAAAAAAGACTGAAAAGTGCAGGTGAGTCAGTTGGGAAAAGAAAAGGTTTGACGTTGTCACCCAAGGACATCGAGCTGGCGCTCTAACTCCTTAATCGTAGGTTTCCTAAGCACATGAGCTGGAAGCGAATTCCAGCGATTTATAACCCGGCGCGATAGCCGAGTTTCCATCCTAATCCTTTCAGAGTGTGGATTATGCTGTTTCGGTGGGTGACCGCGGGAATTAAGTAACTCAGCGGGACTAAATAGCCTTGAGAAGTTGGAGCTGATCTTACTCTTCAAAATAAGACAAGTGAGTATCATTTTCCCTCTTATCCTTCGATAATACATGGTGTACATACCCAAACTGAGCAAGCGTTCAGGAAATGTCTGTCCCCGTAGACCCTGCACTTACCAAAAGATAGATGGATAGATAGATATGCCTATTTAGAACTCATACCGCTTCGTCACTATTTACCTTTTCTTTTCTTATTCTGGTATGTACTTGCAAAGCAGAAACCATGTTCATCGAAATGAAATAACGGCATTATTCGCAGACCGTCAGATGAACTTCAGGCTGGGCACATACAACGCCTTCAGCTGCACACGTAACAAACTCTGTGCATTCGTACTTGTGAACAAAGAAACTATACTCTCACTGTTGTTAGTCCCATGCAAACTCATGGAATTAAGGTAAATATTGAGCTCATCACTAGCTGGCCCAGCATCTAGCTAGTCTGGAAATATGCCTATATATATATATATATATATATATATATATATATATATATATATATATATATATATATATATCTGTACAGTAGCTTGTTAGCAGGCAACCTCTCTGCTAGGCTCTACTGTTTCACCAGTTCGTCCTCATATACAAGTGCGGAACAGTAATTACGATGAACTTCACACTATCTCCTATTTTTAGGGTTAGGTTTCGTCATGCACGGATGCTATAGTGAGTCGCTTAACGCCATGCGTTTTCGGGTGCTGCTCTTAATGGTTGATGATGTAACTGTTGGAAAACGAGGCTTGTTTAAATACAAGCATAAATTTATTCTCGATAGGATCGAGGTATTGCTCCATAAGCATGAGCATAGTGTTACATCACTGATAAAGTGTCAGATACCATGCATGTGTCGTTTATGAAAGTGTGAAGTTGTACTGGTTCAATAGAAGTAGTTATAATGATTAATTTTTCACAGATGCAATGTCAATCGTACGCTAGTGCTCTTCATTTTTGTGGGTACTTGTGGAACTGTTTGTTTCGTAGGATAGTAAACAACGTGGAAACATTGATTTAAGAAGCCGAAATATCGTGTGAGTGTGCTTGGAAGCGTGGTAACTGTAAATGTGATTGGTGCGTCCTTGTCAATGAATGTCGAGGCATTTAAAAATGGGACGCTGCTCCCAATCAAGAGTAGTTGTTTCCATGATGCAGGAGCTCGTAACGTAACTATTCACGTCCGGTTATCAACCTTGTACTTTCGTCGGGGAGGTGAGGAGTGTCGGTTGGTGCTGGTTTGAGCAGTGGGCTTGTCATTTTTTATACGTGTTTGCTTTTAGGTGGATACGTCCTGGACCAAATGGTCATCGCTAGTTAACCTTCGTTAGGCACTTTCAGCAGATTCGCCAGTACCGGCGGAACTTTCCAGTGGGTGTTAGAAGATGCGAAGTAAAGCCGCTCTCTGAACTTGCCAGTAAACTCCGTCCATGCATTAACAATGCAGCGGTTACCCGCAAAAGCCAAAATGGCCTCTGCAGCAATTTCTATGAGTGGGTCATAGTGTGTGATTACTCGAAACAAGTCACTCGTTTTTCGTGGTTTTTCGCATAACACACATGATCGAAAAGAATCGCTGCGTGCTCACTCCAACCCAGAGAGCTCTCCATCCATTTTTTCTCAATCATGAGCACTTCATTCGTGTACGCATTAAACGAACACAGATGACCCAAGTCCAAGTATGAAGATGGTGGGCAAACTGACGTGGCCGAAGATCGGAAGGAGGCCAGCAAGCTGTTGCTGTTCTACCTTGAAGGGCCCAATTTGATAAGCCGGAACTTTCAAATCCCGAACATTCAAGTCGCCCGAAATGCGAATATAGCTGTATCGTCGTTGAATTAAATTCCCCAATACTAACATCAGGCGGAAGCCCACCTCTGAAGTGGACACTGCGGCCAAACCACCATTTTTGCGCCTTAGTCGCAGGCTGCGCCAGAAAGAGCTCCTGGACACCATTTCCGGATCGTCTAGCAGTTCGCATTGCCGGCCAGTACGGTAGTATAAAATCATCAAGCTACCCGTTCAGGGCCATCGGTTCAACTAAGGGACAAGCCATGCAACGGCAATTCAGCGTCGGTAATGGCTTAAGTTACCCGAGATACAGTTAAGAATATGAGGTCCAGGCTTAATAAGGTTGACGTAAACGCATTTCGGCAAGCTTTCTCAGGAGGCCTTTGAAGTATTGTACATGCTAACAAGTTTCTCTGTTCTTAGTAAGGATTTTGAGATGTGCCTTTAGTTTAAAATGCCGTGGGGACCAACGAAAGGTCGACAACTAGGTGCTATTTTGAAGAGGTGATGATAAACTCATCTGCAACAGATCTAGGGATCCCACCATTACCTCAGTGCTCTTCCATTAAATATGTAGTGTATGGGGGTGTTGGCTAGTTTGATCACGACCGTGCGCATGCCTGGCATAGTCGAGAATAAATATTTATTCATTCATTTATTACCGGTTAAATGAAATATGGAGGTAGTCCGACTAAGTGGCTGCTTTCGTTAGGTTGATTGGGGAACTCTGCTGTGCTCTGGAGCTTGGAAAGAAGGCTGCAACAACCGGCACGTTTGGCAGCATCCGGTTTCTGATTTACCGGTCACCGTAGCCTCCATAGGACGGCCACAGGACGCCTGCGCCTGCAGAGGGACCATAGATGGCTTGCGCTGCACCATCCACCGCTCCATCCACACACCCCATTTATATGCAGTGTGAACCCGAAAGAATAAGAGCGGGAGGCATATGAATGGGAGCCGCGTTTCATCAACGAAGGCGGCCCACACTCCATTCCAGGTAAACACAAGCGAGCTATATTTGGGAATCAATTGCACACGGAGCGTTGGCTAGACCGTAGACCGCTTCACACTGCGTGCACCGAACCACTCTTTGCGCCGAGTACGGCTACAACGACCGTGAACCCGGTCCCCACCAGCATCGACCAACGGTCTTCTGGAACTAGTACGGATGAGTTATTGGGTAGTAGACATGTAGGCACATTATCAACATGCACGTCAAGCCCAGCCACACCTGGGATGTCAAACAGCAACCAAGCATTCGAAATGCGAATATCAAATAACCGGTACCGATTCAAGTATACGTATATGACGACATAAATACGCGCTAAATGACCATAGGGAAGAAATTGGTTATGAGCGAATCCGCGATGGGTACAAAATGTCCGAACGTTATTTACAATATGCCGTGAGATGAAGTTATGCAAGTGTACCATAATTAGCATGAGCGACGTGTGTAATTTAGGAGAAGGTTATCAGGTACGCAGCACAAACCCAATATATTGGAATGAATTTGCTTCACTTTAAATGACCTAGTTTGAGCGTAAGTTAATTTAGCCCAACTGCGAAGAAGTAGCATGAATGCAACATAAGCCACCGCATAGGACACCAAAACCGGCATACCAGCTCTATAAACCCTACGTAACATTTGTGTATGTTGAAGCACAAGTCATTCAATCAGCTGGCCCGACATGTCCTGTTGGCCGTCAGATTAGATGATTTTAGGTTGCTGAGTTATGGGTTATGTGGATCCTTTGCCTACACCGAACGTCTACAACAAAACCGAACATTTCGACCTACGTCTATTGGCTTTACTACATGCAACCATCTAATTCAATTGGACTTAAACACTAGTACTTTTGTTTTTATTCTCATTGATACAGTTGGCAAGCCTTGAGGCTCCCTAATAAAGGTCCATTCGAAACGTTGTCGCTGAAGTCTAAATGTTTCATATTGGAAATGGGTGGATCCGAGGAACCTGTGCCTATTGACCTTCATCAACGAGCCTATCTCGAGCCTATCGTTACTTTGATGCGTCCCAAGTTGTTACTCCCTGTTGCTCAACCGATCGATTTAAATACTCCAGAACCAACATGCGTTAGCTCAACACATGATCCTAAGCAACACGTTCAGGACGTCCAGCCTTTCTCCTCCAACCTAGCTGAATTAGTTCCCTAAATAGCTAAAACAATCGTTACCTTACCAGTTCACCTTCTACGATGATTAATAATATAA